TTCTGGTTACTGGTTTTTGGATAATTCCAGTTTGTTTAGTTGTTCTGTCACAGTTGCCGACCGAAAAGCTTGCTTAGGATGAAGGACAGGTTGAGAATTTGATGTACGTTCTTAAAAAAGATGGCGCTTCAAATGTTCATTAGAGAAGAAAATGGTTCTATATAGAACAATGGACGCTTAAAGAGCCCTTTGCATGATTGAAGGGTTCTTTGTATCATGAAAGGGTTGTTCTGATTGATAAATGTGTGTGAATGCACTATAGACGGTTCGTCATAGAGCCTTTTTATTTAAAGGTTCTATATAGCACCCAAAAGGGTTCTTGTACTATTTCACGCTTGACACCGTAACAATAGAAGAACTCTCTTGGGTGCTACAAAAAATGGTTCTTTACAGAACCGTCTACAGCACATTCTCCATCAATCTGAAGAACACTTTCACGATGCAAAGAACCCTTTAATCATGCAAAGCGTTCTTTGAATTCTATATAGAACCATTTTCTTTACTAATCAACCCATGAAGAACCATCTTTTTAAGAGTGTAGTTCTGCTGTCACACACTTCTCCAGAATCTGACCAAACAGACTGCAGGTCAAATATTAATTTGTTATCTAACGTGTTCATTTTCTGTTTCTGTATTCACCAAAGTGGAAACTCATTGACCGTTTACTGCAGGGTATAGTTTGTTGTTAATTAGTAATCAGTGGCACAAGAGTGGGGTTTCTAATAAAGTGGCGAGTGAGTTTGTGTGCCGTATAGTGGCTTTATGCTGTCATACAACCTGCTGCAACAAGTACAACTCACATTCAGCCGGAGCACCTCAAAATTAGTCAAGGTCTTTTGGGTAAGCTCAGTACAGCTGGCAGTACAGTGCTGACTGATCTGGGGTCAGTTTGCTCTCATTCCACATATGAGTCCCCAGAATAGTTTCAGTGGACAAAGGAGAAACTAAAACAACAAAGATTCACAAGTTTATCACATCACTTTTCTAGGACTTAACATTCTGATTGCTGCCCCCCAAAAACCTACCCACAAGATCTAGGCTTCCCCCACAATAATAGATTCAATCTGACCTTTGTATTATTGTATATTGTAGCCACCACCTATCATCTAATTTATCTAAGACATTCTAAACTGCTATGTATTTCAAATGCTACAGTAAATTAACTTTTTTACAATGTGCATTATGTGACAGCTAGATGACCTTTTATCAGTTACCATTTTATGGTGTGTTTAATATGATCTAATATGATTAACCATCTGTTGAGATGAGGATGGCTACCAGTTTAAAACACTACCGTAACCTTTGATATGTGCATCAGGGTATACAGTCTGATCTGCTTTGCCTCTGATGCTAATTTGAGCATCCTTAGTATTTTCTGTTTGCTAGTTTACAGGAAAAAAATATATAGTCGTATGCAAAAGTCTGGGCACCTCTTGTTATATTACATATTGTTGTGAAAATAAGTGAACACATCCTCTACAGGCAAAACACTTCTGCACATTTTAATGCACAATTACTGTTTATTTGCTAACTTTAACATATTGGAAATAAAACATAAAATGTCTGTGCAAAAGTTACAGCAGGTCTAGTATTTTAATAAGCTCAAATAAATAGAAATTGTGCACTAAAATTTGCAGGAAATGCCAAATTTAAGTATATTCTGTGCAGAGGATTTGTTAACTTATTTTCACTTAGGAAATCAGCAAAACATGAAATTTATGATGTTCAGGCTTTTGTGCTTGGGCCCCTGGCAGCTTCCCCCTTTTTCCCCCCTTATGGGCAGCCCTGCTTGTGTATGATGCTTTGTCGCACTTGTTTAGATGCCTTAGTTTGATAATCTGTGAGGAGTCAGCAGCTCATGGTCATCGTAAGTGTTCAGTAACCATATATAAACAAACTCTATTGCTTCTTTTGCGTGCACTCTGCTGTTCTGACCTGCAGCAGCAGGGGGCGCAGTCTCCCAGCTCAACCTTGACTACTTTGGGCCGGTGGAGGACAGTAGCTCAGATAGTGATACTGATACGCCGTTACCAGGTTAGAACAGATGGATGCTGCATTATAAAGCAAACACACCACATACACACTGTATATACACAGACATCATTGTTTATCAGGGCTGTGTATTGAAATTTAATACGTTTGTAATATCTTTCGAATTGCAGTTAAATCAAGACAAAAAAGTGTCATTCAGTACCAAATTTCAGTACCTCTGCCTACCAGCAAATAAGTATGATAGCAATAATCATGCTTATTCCAATCCAGACTGCTGATTGGCCAGTAAATTACATTATCTATGCACTCAGTTTTTGTTTGAGCCACTAGTTTGTGATTTAAAGGAAGGTAACGGAAAAAGCATCACCCATCTGTATAGTGTTTTTAGTACCCAGTACCCAGCCCTATTCACACATCACTGGTCAATGCTATATATGTACACACAATACATATCAAGGGATGCACCAGTATGGGAATTGTGGGCCAGTGGTGATAATTGAGTACATCCGCCTAGATTAGCATTAGAGTTCTATTAGTTATATAACACTTATTTCTGTAAGATTACAAATGCAGTAAAATTAATAAAATATACATCAGTTAGCCTTTAACATTAAAACCTTGTTTCTACACTCAGTGTCCATGTTATCAGCTCCACTGACCATATAGGTGCCCTTTTTTAGTTACAGACTGTAGTCCATCTGTTTCTCTGCATACTTTGTTACCCTGTTCTTCAGTGGTCAGGACCCCCACAGGACCCTCACAGAGCAGGTACTATTTGGATGGTAAAACATTCTCAGCACTGCAGTGACACTGACGTGGTGGTGGTGTGTTAGTGTGTGTTGTGCTGGTGCGAGTGGATCGGACTCAGCAGTGCTGCTGGAGTTTTTAAACACCTCACTGTCACTGCTGGACTGAGAACCAAAAATTTCCAGCCAACAGCGTCCTGTGACCACTGATGATGGACTAGAGGATGACCAATACAAACTGTGCAGCAGCAGATGAGCTACTGTCTGCATCTTGTCTACATTTACATCTTGTCTTATAGAGTGGACAGTAAGTGGACACAGTGTTTAAACACTCCAGCAGCACTGCTGTGTCAAGATAAAAGATTTTACATAAAATGTGGCCTTATGATATATTTTGTTTTATTTTATCCAATAAACAACAAATAAATTAAAAGTGTGCACCAAAATTGCAAAAAATGCATTGTTTATGTTTGTTCTCTGTATCAAATGTGAAACTGATTTTCAACAAAGCGTTTTGACCGGGACACCCAAATTTTTGCATACAACCTTCAGGCACTGCTGTACACATACATGCACACCATACATGCTATATAAACACAGACACAGTTACATACAGTGGTGTGGTTGCTTTGCTGTGAGTCCTGCTTTTCTGTTCTCTTTACTTCTGAACTTTGTGTGATTTGGTGCAGTGGTCAGTGTTTTTTGGGGTCTGTTCTGTGTGAATACAATTGCCCGGCTTCCTCTTCTCTAAATAGTCTCTCATGGTTCTTGACAAATATGCACTCGTGAGGCCTGTTGCTATTAGTGGGGTTAAAGGGGAACTCCACCTATTTCTAAACATTTCTGCACTGTTCTGTTATTGAGTTGTAAACATAATAATTTAGAGTGGTTTGATGTGAATGGTCCCTTGTAGTGGTGATGATAGGAACCAGGGGTCAACATGACTACACAACATTTATTTGCAATCCAAAACCGCCATTGAGCCTATACTTGTCTTCTGAGCTTTTGTATGGAATATTAATGATGGTAAAAAAAAAAAAATTGTAAGTCCGAAAAATACATTAACTGTGGAGTCCACTGTACACCCTGCGTGCACGCCTCTGCCATGATTGTGTTTGATAAATGCAGTATGGGTTAAAACCATATCTCAATACTATCATAAAACTTCAGATTTTGTCAGTAATCTGATCAGCATATTTTTTTTAAACATCGAGTCACTTTACCTGAAAATATGAACATACATCATCTACAAAAGAATATTTAAATTCCTCATTTCGTCACAAATATAGTTGGTTTCAGCGTCACTCCAAAAGCGGCTCGCTTATTTCCGGTACAGCAGTTCGTTTTTGCACATGCGCAGACTGAGAAATCCGAAAGAAATCAGAGTAAGAGTTCACATGCACTGAGAAATCTGATTACAGAGCTAAAATCCAGCCTCTTTATCAGATTTCTTGATCGGATTTCTAGACCTTACTCCGATCCAAGAAATCAGAGTGTGCTGTTTACATCACCATTTTAATAATCCGACAACTGCAGAAATCCGATTATGATCAGATTATTGAGTGCTTGTAAACGCACTCAATGCCTCAGGCATCAGGCAGTGAATTTATAACCATTTAATGTAATAACTTTCTGTGAGGGAGCTTTTAGAGGTGGACGTCTGGTTCCTATCACCATCACTGTGAACAATTCTGACTCAGTAAGTTTTCCTAGAAAAGAGCATTTCACTCTGAATGACTTAGTTTACATATTAATGATTCAATTATGCAGAAATTTTGAATTCTCATTTAAAAGATGTCAAATATTGTCACATAATTAATCCAGTGCAGTTGGTAATTTATTGACTATAGGAAAATTACTTGTATACCCTCAGTTTCACTTGTGCAGGACATACTGTTATCAGGGAACCCAGAGGCTTCTGCACCGAAAGAGCTAAAGCTTGATTCCATTTCCAGTTTCACTCCCAGCATTTATCTCATGCATGTATACGTGCTAGTTTTGTTGCATCCTCTGTCTGAATGCAGTGCATTGTTTTTCAGGGCGTTTGAGTTGAGCATGTTGTCTGTGAGGGCGTGTTAAATTGCTCAGGTGTCACCCTGTGTCTTTTGTTAATCCCTTGAGTTGAAAGCAGAGCTGCACTATATATTGTTGGTTCATCATTATTGTGATATTTGCCTTTGCTTTTCTGATATTACAGGAAGGGCAGAGGGGTGTTAGGTGTGTGTTAACATGATCTACTTAAAATGTCTCCTGTGTGTGTAGGAGTAGATCCGGAGTTGTATGAGCTGACCACTGCTAAACTGGAGTGCAATAACACGAGCAGCAACATAGCAGATGCCTTCAATAGACTGATGGATACTGCAGAGAAAACCAGCACTGTGGCCAGGTGCGTCGTCACAAACACATAAAAGTTGGTCATTGTGGTGCATAAACTTACTGATTGTACCTTTAATTTTAAATGCAAGTGCAGATTGTTGGTCTAATAGCAAGTGCATAATTGTATTGATTGTATTTTAGTGGCCAGGGCCATGAACTTACTGACCGTGTCTTGTTGGCACTAAGTTAATAAATTTTTTAATGTCAAGTACATAAAATTTACTGATGCAAAATACTGATGCAATAGACTGGTTATGCCCATAATGGACCTAAATAACTAAAGAAACTTATTATAGCAAGTAAATAAAAACAGTACATAAAGCTACTGATTGTAACTTTAATCTTAAGTGCATAAAACTTACTGATTGTAGCTTTAATCTTCAGTGCAGGTGCATAATACCTGCTGATCATAGATTTATAACAAGTACAATAAACCTACTGATAGTATTTTAATGGTAAAGGCTATGGGCTTACTGCTCATGTCCTTATTGGTGCTAAATTAACACATGCAGGTCCATAAAAAACTGCTTACTGTAGCTTTAATGGCAAGTGCATAAAACTTACTGATTGTACCTTTAATCCCAAATGCAGTAAACTGGTCATGTCTTTAATGGACCAAAATAACTTAATAAACTTATTATGGAAAGTACATAAAAATTGACCATAGCTTTAATGACAAGTACATAAAACTACATGATACATACAGTGGCAAATGGCAAGTATATAAAGCTACTGATTGCAACTTTAATCTTAAGTGCGTAAGCATACTGATTGTAGCTTTAATCTTCAGTAAAAGGGCAGATTGTTGATTTAATAGCAAGTGCATAGTACCTGCTGACCATAGATTTAATAACAAGCACAGAAAACGTACTGATTGTATTTTAGTAGCAAGGGCCATGAACTTACTGACCATATCTTTGTTGGCACTATGTTAATAAACTTATGGCAGGTACATAAAACCCACTGACCGTAGCTTTAATGGCAAGTGCATAAAACTTACTGATTGTACCTTTAATCTCAAAAACATAAAACTAGTATCTTCAGTGGTGCGTGCATTAAACTGATCATGTCTTCATGAAACTAAATAACTTAATAAACTTAGTATGGCGGTTGCATAAAACCCACTGACCGTAGCTTTAATGACAAGTGCATAAAACTTACTGATTGTACCTTTAATCTCAAATGCAATAAACTGGTCATATCTTTATTGGACCTATATAACTAAATAAACTTATTATGGCAAATACTTAATGCTTGTAGCTTTAAGTGCACAAAAATAGCTGATTGTAGCTTTAAAAGTGCAGTTTGTTGTTAATAGCACGTGCATAATACCTACTGTTAGATTTAATATCAAGCACAGAAAACCTACTGATTCTATTTTAGTGGCCAGGGCCATGAGCTTATTCACCATATCTTTGCTCGCACTAAGTTAATACATTTTTATGGCAGGTACATAAAAACTACTGACCATAGCTTTAATTGCTAGTGCATAAAACTTACTGATTGTACCTTTAATCTCAAATGCAGTAAACTGGTCATGTCTTTGATGGACATAAATAACTAAACGAACTTATTATAGCAAGTGCATAAAAACTGACCATAGCTTTAATGACAAGTACATAAAACTACATAGCCCATACAGTGGCAAATGGCAAGTACAAAAAGCTGCTAATTGTAGCTTTAATATTCAGTGCACGAAACATACTGATTGTATCTTTAATCTTCAGTATAAGGGCAGATTGTCGATTTAATATTAAGTGCATAGTACCTGCTGACCATAGATTTAATAACAAGCACAGAAAACGTACTGATTGTATTTTAGTAGCAAGGGCCGTGAACTTACTGACCATATCTTTGTTGGCACTATGTCAGTAAACTTATTATGGGAGGTACATAAAACCTACTGGCCGTAGCTTTAATGGCAAGTGCATAAAACCTACTGGTTGTATCTTTAATCTCAAAAACATAAGACTAGTATCTTCAGTGGTGTGTTTGTGGGAAGTGTAGACTGGAACTGTAATAACAAGTGTATAAAATCTATTGATTGTAGCTTTAATCTCAAATGCATTAAACTGATCATTTCTTTAATGGAACTAAATAACTAAATAAACTGTAGATTTAATAGCAAGTGCGTAAAACTTACTGACTGTACCTTTAATCTCAAATGCATAAAACCTTCTGATTGTATGTTTCTGTTGCAAGTGCTTTGAGCTTACTAATCATGTCTTTAATGGCACTAAAAAAATATATAAACTTATTATGGCAGGTACATAAATAATACTGACTAGCTTTCATGGCAGTTGCATAAAATTTAAACTGATTGTACCTTTAATTCAAATACATAAATCTTGTGTCTTCAGTAGGGCGTGCATGGCAAGTGCAGACTGTAGCTTTAATAATAAGTGCATGAAGCCTACTGTAGTATTACAGTAACATGTTTTATAATGTAAGTCTTATATTAAATGTAGAAAATGAACCAGTCCTCCCTGTTTGTGTTTATGTTCTGACAGAAAGCCTGAGAGAGATGGAGCGATTAGTGAAGAGGCTGCTCGGGTCATCTCTGTCCTCCCTGACCTTTCTTTCATGCGGGCCAGAGTTCTGATGTTCCCTTACACTCTGACCCCAGCTGCCAATCAGCTTTGACCTCCAGCTACCACAATACAGTCATTTTCGACAGCTGCCTTAATTATTCAGTCACCTTTGACCTTTGCTGCTCTGTGAACCTGTACGGCAGGTTGACTTTTATCCAGAACAAGTGACTACCAAAGAATCGCCTCCCTGTCTGAGGCACGTCCGTCTTCAAGGGCTTTTAATCTTTAGTATTGTTTGCTGAACGAGTTCTGGTTGTACGCCGTCAGACTCGCCCCGCTTGATACGAGAGCGTTTATTCTTTATTAAACGACATGAAGGAATGGGAGCTGCACATTTTACTACTTGAAATATTATTACTTTATTAATTAATGTTGAATTTTTGTGCTGTGTTTTTTGGGGTTTGCCTTATAGTACAAACATTCTGAGCACTCCTTTTATTTCAGACACATTTGAGCTACAAAGTGTCTGAAAGATTTCATTGTTCCTACACTCTTAAAAAAAAGATGGTTCTTCAAGGGTTCTTTAGTAAAGAAAAATGTTCTATATAGAACCATGAACACTCTGTGAACACTTTGCATGATTAAATGGTCCTTTAATGATTAAAGGGTCCTGGAGAATGTTGCTGTAGATGGTTCTGTATAGAACCTTTTTTAAAAGGGTTCTGTTTTCGAGTTCGATCCCTGGTGATGCTACTGCCATCCGTAGCCGGGAGTCCGAGAGAGCACAATTGGCCTCGCTCTCTCTGGGTGGGTAGGATGGCCCCTCCCTCTCCCCCCATCACCCAACGCGATGCTAGTCAGCGCAGGCGTCTGTTAGCTGACGTAACAGATCTGGCGGTTGGCGCTTTCCTCTGGCGAAAAGATACGGGGGCTGGTTTCACAGGTCTCGGAGGAAGCCTGTGTTAGCCCTCGCCCTCCTAGTGTTGATAGTATCGTGTGACTGGGGGAGTCCTAACTAGCGGGTGGAATTGGAGACGACTAAATTGGGGAGATAATTGGGTAAAAAAAAAAAGGGTTCTATTTAGCACCCAAAGAGTTCTTCCATTTTTCCGGTGTCAAGCTTGTAACAACAGAAGAACCCTTTTGAGTGCTACATAAGAACGCTTTAAAAGAATGATCTGTATAGAACTGTCTGTAGCACATTAATGCACATTTTCCGTTATTAATCATCAATTTGAAGAACCCTTTAATCATGCAAAGGGTTCTTTGAGTGTGCATGATTTTATATAGAACCATTTTTCTTACTAAAGAACCTTTGATGCACCATCTTTTTTTAAGAATGTACATCAAATTCTCAACCTGTCCTTTATCTTTAGCAAGATTTTCTGGTTCTTCTATTGTTACCAGCTTGACATCTCAACAATAGAACCCTTTTCAAAAAGGTTCTATATAGAGCCATCTACAGTACGTCCTGAAGAACCCATTCGTGATGCAAAGAACCCTTTAATCATGCAAAGGGTTCTTTGTGTGTTCTTTATAGAACCTTTTCTTTACTAAAGAACCCTTGAAGAACCATCTATTTTAAAAGTTTAGTACACGTTTTTCAACATGTGAATATTTAATTTCTTTTTAATGCCTGTATTTACTTTTGTTTCATCACCAGTGAACATTTTTTCCAGAATGAACTAAACATGTTTGTATTTATCCCTCGTTAAGGGTCCTTTTTGTTGTGTTTATGTGTACTTTGTTTGCTTTCATCTTTCATTTGTATTTATTGTTAAACATTTAAAGGGGAATTCCACTGATTTTTAAAATTTTCAACATAATTCAGTGGTTTGGATGTATACAAATTTCTTCAAAGTCATTCATAGTGATTTGATGTGCTCCATTGTGGAGAAACTTCTCTGATTTCTGTACAGTGGTGGTGATAGGAACCAGGGGTCACCATGACAACAACACACTTTATTTATCATCCAAAATGACAGTTGAACCTGCACATGTCTTCTGAGTTTTATGTGTGATGCTGATGATGGTAAAATAGTGTTAAATCTGAAAGTAATACGTTTTCTTTGCGAACTATTTTACCTCATAACAGCCTGCAGGTATCCTTCCACCGTTAATGGATTTTAAACACGTTTTAGACCAAAATACCTTAAAACAGTGTCTCAGACATCAGGTAGTGAATTCATAACCATTTCATGTGAAAACGTTCCGTGAGGGAGCTTTTAGAGGTGGACGTCTGGTTCCCATCACCACCACTGTGAACAATTCTGACTGAGAGCATTTCACACCAAACCACTCTGAATGACTTTGTTTACAACTTAACCATTTAATTATGCTGCATTTTTTGAACAGCAGTTAAATTCCTCTTTAAAAGGCAGATTTTGCACACGTAAACATGACATGAATGATTGATTGCCTGGTTGAAGAATGTTGGAGCTTCAGAGAACATTTCTCTGGGTTCATTTTCATTTAGCATAGCATGTAAAATGAGAAAGATTCACTATATGTTTTCCTCTTTTCTGAAGATGTTGGTATATTTATTGTATGTTTGTTTTATGAAAAATAGATTTTGTGGTGACGTGTATTTCACCACTCCATCATCTGCCTGAGTCATAAACTTACTCCTGCATCAAACTATCTCTCCTCAGCGCACAGCTCGAGCCTGTCCAGCATGTTTGTACCCCATGTGGAGGTGAGCTATTAGGCCTAATGTCAGTACCAGCTCTGAACCCCGGATGTTGAGGATGCTGATATTAATTATATAATGACAGTGAAGTGAATACACTTGACTTATTGATTGTTTGAGGGCTGGTTCAGGAAATACCTCCCAGCTGTGACCATCAGTACATTAGATGGTTTATGTGCAATGGAATAGAATATATATATATATATATATATATATATATATATATATATATAATATACACAATGTGTCTGTGTGTATTATATTATACATTTCTGTAGAGACAAACTAAGATCAGTAATTAATTAAATATTTGCATACACAATATGGCCAAAAGTTTGTGGATGCTTATTCAATGTTTCTTCCCAAATCAAAAGTATTGAAAAGGAGTTTGACCCCCTTTCCTGCAGTAACAGCCTCTACTATTCTGGGAAAGCTTTGCACTAGATGTGTGCTTTGCTGTGAGGATTTGATTGCATTCAGTCATTAGTGAGGTCAGGTACTGATGTTGGATGATCAGTTCTGGAAGGTATTGGATGGAGCTCCATAACTCCAGAGAACACAGTTCCACTGATCCACAGCCCAATGCTGGGGGGCTTTGTACCCTTCTAGTTTGACACTGGGCATGTTGACCTTAGGCTCATGTACAGCTGCTACAGAAAGACCTGTTATGTTGTCATTGTTTCGGCAGTGGGTGCATCTGAATTCACTAACAAGAAGGGATGTCCACAAACTTTTGGACATATAGTGTATGTGTCCTATGCTGTGGTCATCTGTGTGTTTATGTTAACTGAGAAGTCCTGCTCTGTGAAATGATCCAGATTACCAGGTTTAAGGAAACACTTAATATGCATCATATGTATATTTTTTTATCTTTGTTTTATAGTCTCTTTTTTATAACCTAGAACACTGAACTAATCCGTGATTTTAAACGCCACAGTGTGCAGAAATCGGATTGGCTGGGTCTCCAGTGACGCACAAGGCTGGAAGGCCTGAGTTTTTTTTCCCCACCCGTATTCAGAGGCAGCCCCGCCCTCCTACGCTGGGATTGGCTAGTGATGTCCTGCTTCCCGCGCTGTGATTGGCTTGTAGTCCACGCTCACAAAAGGCCTGGTGTTTTAGAACGCTAGGCATCGTTCTGTCACTGTAATTTAGCGTTCAAAAAACGTTTAATACCTTAAAAAGATGTCTCTTTTAGGGTTCTTTAGGAAAGGAAATGGTTCTGTTTAGAACAATGAGTTCTGTATAGAGCCATTTCCTGCTTAAATGGTTCTTTGCGTTGTGAAATGGTTCCTTAGGCTGATGGAGAATGTGATGTATATGGCTCTATATAGAATCATTTTGAAATGACGTTCTAGATAGCATCAAAGAGGGTCCATCTATTGTTCCAAGTTTGACATCTTTACAAGAGCAGAACCCTTTTTGGTGCTATCTAGAACCATTTTCGAAAGGTTTCTGTACAGAACCATATACAACACATTTTCAGTTAATCCGAAAAATCGTTTAATCGTGCAAAGAACCATTAAAGCACGGAATGATTCGATATAAAACTCATGGTTTTATATAGTTTACTCAAGAACCCTGGACTGCTCGTGACCTGTTAGCCAATCACAGAGCAAGAGGGGCGTGGCTTTCACGTTTCAGAATAGCATACTCAAGAATGGACAGTGTTTCAAACTCTGATAAGAAATGCTGCTTTGTAATTTGTCTTTATGATCCTTGAAAAAATATGTAATTTGTTTCAAATTGCTAAAGTTCTATATTTTTGTTTTATCAAAATGCTATATTTTTGTGTTTCCGCGTAGTCTTATATCAGATACACAAGGCAGGAATGTGAATGTGATTTCAGTCCAGTGTAGCAAAAAATATATGTGACGTAAATGCGGAATAATTATGTTCACGTAAATAATTATGTTCACGTAAAATTTTTATATTTTTGTATTTTATACTTTATTTCTATCCGTCTACCTTCATAACGTTTTAAATTTTGTATGAAAATTATACTTTTAATGCATTTTTCCTCATCGCTTGCGCGTGCGGACATTTAGCCAATCACAGCGCAGGTGGGCGGAGCCTGTCGGAATGCGGGTGTGAATTAAACTGCGCTGCGGCGGTGCAGCGCGGCTCTCCCGGCCGGGTTGTGTGAGCGCAGCCACCTGCTCTGCTCCGGAGAGCGACCTGGGAGGATTTTAAACTCTATATATTCTTATTTTTGTACACAGAGGCCTTTATTCGGCAGGTAAGTGGCCGCTCGGCTCCGTTTGTGTCTGTATTTGTCTGCTGCGTGTCGTTAGCATCAGCGTGCAGCGCTGGTTCTGCGTTAGCAGCAGCGGCAGCAGCAGCTCACAGCTCCGGTCACCGCAGAGAGAACCGGCAGGTAAACACAGCAGAGATCAGCACATCAACAGCACAGAGAGGACACATCACCTGCACTGACCTGCGCTACAGGAGTGATACACACATCTACACACAGCACTAGACTGTAGGAGTGATTGATTGATTGATTGATTGATTGATTGATTCACGTGTGTAAAGCTGATACACGTAAAACAGCATCAACAGCCTTGCTTTATTCATTCACTTATTCAGTTAGTTATTTAAATGTATAACACTGATACACGTGAAACAGCAAAACTAGCAGTAGTTCTGCTTTATTTATTTATTTATTTATTTGTTTGTTTATTTACTCACGTGTAGCAGCAATATCTGCAAAACTGCAAAGTTTCTTTTATTTGCTAATCTAAATGTGCAGCACGGATGCATCTAGAAAGCAACAACAGTAGGCCTTTATTTATTTATTTGTTATTTCTGTTATTATTTGTAGCACTCATACAAGCAAACACAGCAACATCAGCTGGTTTGTTTGTTTATTTGTTTGTTTGTTTAGGCAGCCTCAATGACCAGGTCTAAATCTATGACAGAACCACTCTTAACGGCAGCTAACGCAATGTTGCTCTCATGCTTGGCGCTGTATTAAAAGGGGAGGAGGACCAGTATTTCAAAATTCCTGCATAATTACATTATAATGCCATAAACAAAGTCTTTTAGAGTGGTTTGGTGTGGAATGCTCTGTTCTAGAGAAGCTTCCAGAGTCAGAATCGTTCACA